CATTTGCATGCTCGTGCATGCTCTCTAAATAAATAAATAAATAAATAAATAAATAAATAAATAAATAAATAAATAAAATCTTAAAAAATAGTAATGTTCCTCATAATGCATTTTGTGACATGTTGACCTGATCAAGTCAAATAAAGAAAACAGAATGTATGTATTTACATAGAAAAAAAAAAAAGGCTGGAAAGAAATACTCTAAAATGGTACAAGTCTAAGTGGCATTACTAATGCTTGTATTTTGTTTTGTTTTTTGATCCAGCCTTTTCTACATTTTCAGAATAACAAATAAATGCTGCTTTTACTTTTTAAAACATAGATAATAACCCCAGAAAATCTTTAAAAGTCAATTTCAGAATAACTGCCTTAATCTTGTTACTTGGGCTATGAATATCCTGCTAAAACAGGTAAAAAAATAAATACAGGTCTGATCAGACACATAGAACAAAATACTTTAACCCTTAAATCATCAGCATCTTTTAAAACAATGCGTTCATATTTTTCTCTGGCATTTGTAAATGCAACAGGCAACGTCAAGATTTTGTTTTTGGATACCTCACAAATATGACATTCCCCAACTACTTTGATAAAAGTCCACATTCTCAAAGGCAGAGATATTTTAAAAACTTAAAAACTGAGAGCAAGCCCAAGATTTCTTGATGGCTGCCTACAACACATTTTGCTATAAGGAGATTTCTTCAATCAAGCTGCACATTCACACTCAGTTAAAAGCAAAGGTGATTGTACAACATTGTGAATGTACTTAATGCCACTGAACTATATACTTAAAAATGGCTAATCTAGTAAATTTTATGTTATGTTCATTTTACCACAATGACAAAAACTAAGGGTAGTGAAATACATTTAGGTAGCATATTTTATTTTGAAAGATCCTCACAACTTTCAATATTTATAAGTGTGTTCACAAGGACACCTGGGTGGCTCAGTTGGCTGAACTTCTGCCTTTAGCTCAGGTTGTGATCTCGGGGTCCTGGGGTGGAACCCTGCCAGGGTTCCTGCTTGGCGGGGAGTCTGTTTCTCCTTCTGCCCCTCCCCCTGCTTGTGCTCTCTCTCAAATAAATAAATAAAATCTTAAAAAAAATAAAAAAATAGAAGTGTGTTCACAGAATTATTTATTACAGTGATCTGGAAACAACCTAAATGCCCAACAATAGGGGACTAATCAAAGTATATCCTATTCTTACCAGCTAATACCTCAAAACCAGTTTTAAAAAATGATATAAAGCTCTTTTATTATGGAATCTTATCTTTAATTTATGGAGTGAAAAAATGCCTGTTATTAAATGACATAATGTGTTAAATTTAAAAAACATATAAATATAATCCACCTATATTTATTTTATATATAAACATAGAAAAAAGTCCAGCAGGATCTATATCAATATGCAGCACGGATCCTTGTTTTCTTCTTTGAACATTTCCAAATTATTTGAATTTGGAAGTGCATATGTACTTTTATGATCAGAAAAAATCATTAAACCATATTTTAAGTGTATATTAATATATGGGTAATATCCTTATAGGGGTCATTTTTCATCATTAAAATGTAGACCATTCTGTTTGTGCATTATCATGGAGGGGCTAGCAGGACCCCCCTGTTTTACTATGTTTAAGTGAAAACTTAAGAATAGGTTATACATGAAACTAATATGACACTGTAGATTAATCATACTTAAAAAAATAAAGTGTAAAAGAAAAAATGGGGATAATTTTTTTTAAGGGAAAGGCAAAAAGGAAATGGGTCGGGAGTTTAATTATATAGGGGAAAAAAACAGCAAAATCAGTATTTTGAACATGTGTTGACTGCAGATTAAGTGAATTTATAGATTTTGATAGACTTTTAAAATAATCCTATTTAAGATGTTCAGAAAGAAATACAACTTCCCTTTCAAAATAATTATAAATTACCAAACAAGAAAATGTAAAAAAATAAAAATCTTAGAAATAAGTATTATAGTTATGGGAATAAACCATAGGATAAACTCCAGCTGGACACAGAGTGTATTTCTGAATGGGAACATAGAACTGTGATGTACATAATATGGCCACATTTTCTTAACAGAAATTCCAGAATAAGAGAGTGGGGAGAATGAGGACGAAGCAGCATCTGAAGAGAAATTATTGTTTATTTTCCAGAAATGAAGCAAGATCTAGGTCCTCTGAGTGAAAGTGTTTTCTGAATACTGAGCAAAATAGGTTTTGAAACATTTAAAACCATCTGCAATTTTAAAACATCTGCACCTCGCCATACTTAGACAACTTGTAGTAAAACTAGAGAACTTCAAAGAAACTACCAGAGAGAAAAGACATTATTTACAGAATAACAAAAACTAAAAGTGACAGTAGACATCTTATTCATAGTAATGGGTGTCAACAGTCAATAGAGTAATATCAAAATATGCACAGGCAAGAGAATCACCAAATTCAGGGTAGTGGCTCTCTCTCTGGGCAGAGAGAGAGGAGTAAAAGCAAAAGGTAACCTAAGACCTCAACACTAATGATGCTATTTGACTCATTCAAAAACTATGTGAAGCACTGTTGATGGGCATGTAAAGTGGCACAACCACTCTGGAAAACAGTATGGCGGTTCCTTAAAACATTAAAAATGGAACTACCATATGATCTCACAATCCCAAGTTTAGGAGTATATCCAGAAGAACAGAAAGCAGGATCTCAAAGAGGTATCTGCACATCTATGTTTATGATAGTATATTCACAATAACCAAGAGGTGGCTATTGAGCCAACCCAAACACCCATCAACAGATCAATGGATAAACAAAATGTGGTATATATATATAACTAATAGGATATTATTCATCCATAAGGAAGAGGGAAATTCTGTCACATGCTGCAACATGGATAAAACTTCAGGACATTATGCTAAGTGAAAAAAGCTAGTCACAAAAAAACCAAATACTGATACTGTATGATTCCACTTATATGAGGCATCTACAGTAGTCATATTCATAGTCAGAAGGTGATGGTTGTTGTTACGGACTGGGGGGAGCAGGAAGTGAGGAGTTGTTTGGTGGATATAGAGTTTCAGGGTTTTTTTTTTTTTTTTAGATTTTATTTATTTATTTGAGACAGAGAAAATGAGAGAGAGAGCACATGAGAGGGGGGAGGGTCAGAGGCAGAAGCAAGCTCCCTGCCGAGCAGGGAGCCCAATGTGGGACTTGATCCAGGGACTCCAGGATCATGACCTGAGCCGAAGGCAGTCGCTTAACCAACTGAGCCACCCAGGTGCCCGAGTTTCAGTTTTGTAAGATGAAATATTCTGGAGATGATTGCACAAGAGCATTAATATACTTAACACTATTGAATTATACACGTTAAAATGAATATGATAAAAAAATGGTTAAGATCCTAAGTTTTATATTACGTGCTTATTACAATTTAAAAAAATATCTGAACAATTGTTGAATGAAAAATATTTAAAGCAAGTAATTAGATGATCAAGATGTGCCTGCTAATATTTATCAAGTGATATTTGCAAGTGACATATCTGATAAAGAGTATCTAAAATAAAGAACTTATAAAATTCAACACCCCATAAATGAATAATCCAATTAAAAATGGGCAGGTGACATGAATAATTTTCCAAAGAAGACATACAGATGGCCAACAGACCCATGAAAAGATGCTCAACATCACTGATCATCAGGGAAATGCAAATCAAAACCACAATGAGATATTGCCTCGCACCCCTCAGAATGGCTAAAATCAACAACACAAGAAACAATAGGTGTTGGCAAGGATGCAGAGAAAGAGAAACCCTCTTACACTGTTGGTGGGAATGCAAACTGGGGCAGCCGCTCTGGAAAACAGTATGGGGGTTCCTCAAAAAGTTAAAAATAGAGCTATCCGATGGCCCAGCAATTGCACTACTAGGTATTTACCTAAAGAATACAAAAATACTAATTTAAGGGGATACATGCACTCCTATGTTTATAGCAGCATTGTCTACAATAGCCAAATTATGGAAACAGTCCAAGTGTCCATTGACTGATGAATGGATAACGAAGATGTGGTATATTACTCAGCCATAAAAAAGAATGAAATCTTGCCATTTGCAATGATGTGGATAGAACTAGAGAGTATTACGCTAAGTGAAATACATTAGTCAGAGAAAGACAAATACCATATGATTTCACTCATATGTGGAATTTAAGAAACAAAACAAATGAACAAAGGTTAACAAAAGAGAGAGAGGCAAACCAAGAAACAGACTCTTAAGTATGGAGAACAAACTGATAGTTACCAGAGGGGATGTGGGGGGTGGGGATGGGGGAAACAGGTGAAGGGGATTAAGGAGGGCACTTGTGATGAGCACCGGGTGATGTATGGAAGTGTTGAATCACTATATTGTACACAGGAAACTAATATTACACTGTACATTAACTAATTGGAATTTAAATAAAACTTAAAAAAATGAAGTTCAGTTGGTATCTCAAACAAACATCCAATACAGAAAAAAAGATTCTATTCATTTTTTCTGAACTATTTTACAAAATAAAAAGTCACTTTTTAAACAAGTTGAGGGTATTAAAGCCACCAACAGAAAAATGGATAAAAAATTCTGGTGTAGGGAAGACCACATAACAATAAAAAGGAACTGCTGATATCCACAGCAACATGACTGAATTGCAAGAACCTCCGGTGAGTGAAAGAAGCAGTCACCAAAGAATACATGCGGTAAGATTCCACTTGTAAAAGACCAAAAACAAGTAAAGCAAAACCTTGGAGATAGCAATCATAAGGGCAGTTGCTGATGGGGGGTGGGGATTGACTTGAAAGCTGACACTGGGGGCAATTTCTGGGGTGACAGCTCTATCTTGATTGGAGTGTTGGTTGCATCTGGGAATCTATTTGTCACGACTCATCTATTTGTACACCTAAGATCTAGGCATTTCATGTAATGCTCATTTAACCTCAATATACAGATAGAATTTTAAACAAAAGGTGGAGCTAGAAAAATATATATATTTTTAAAGATTTTATTTATTTATTTGAGACAGAGAGAATGAGAGAGACAGAGAGCACATGAGAGGGGGGAGGGTCAGAGGGAGGAGCAGACTCCCTGCAGAGCAGGGAGCCCAATGTGGGACTCGATCCAGGGACTCCAGGATCATGACCTGAGCCGAAGGCAGTCACTTAATCAACTGAGCCACCCAGGCGCCCGGAGCTAGAAAAATATTACAGGCCATTTACTTGCGGAAAAAAGAACCACAACACTGTTGGCCCCAGATGCCCAAGGATACGAGGCAAAGGGCACTTCAGTTGATTGAAATGCAAGAGAAATTTAGATACCGCAATTCTGTTACTCAAGAAGCATTCATGACATTGGAGAAAAGGCCAGAGCTTCAAGAAACTTTAGAAGCCTGACCTGACCATGTTCAGTGTCTCAAGAATTTTATCAAATCTTACTAAGGTACAAACAAGCCTCTCCTTGGGTGTCTTTCCAAAGAAAAGGCTAAAAAATATGGTCATTAGAAATAAGTTATTTTTTCTCTTTAAATTAACTTGATTTTAATTATATAAATCATACAGATTTATTATAGAAAAATTGGAACTACAGATCATCAGAAATAAAAAATTGAAATAACTGGTTAACAGATAACTCAACATTTGGGGATGCGTGTGTATGTGTGTTTGAAATGTTGTAACTTTTTAAGATTGTTTCCTATCTTTTTGATTATGTAAGTGAGATTCTGCAAATCCCACTTTGCAAAATCCCGTGGCTGTCTTTATTGGGGAGGATCCAACAGTAAGATCATGTAATTCATCATATTTGCCCCTACATTCACTGTGTGATCTTAAAATGTTTTCCTCAGTTTCTCTTTTTCTAAAGATGGGTCTATTGTCATCTAAGAGAAATTAAGATTGCCTTTCCAATGTTACCATTTTTTTTAAAGATTTTATTTATTTATTTATTTGACAAAGAGAGAGAGCGAGCGAGAGCAGGAACACAAGCAGGGGGAGCGGGAGAGGGAGAAGCAGGCTTCCCGCTGAGCAGGGAGCCAGATGCGGGGACTCGATCCCAGGACCCTGGGATCACAACCTGAGCCGAAGGCAGATGCTTAACTACTGAGCCACCCAGGTGCCCCTCCAATATTACCATTTATGACATGTTACCATTTATGACATGGAACGTATGGTTTTCTTTCAACGTAGTAGTATTTTCCCATGAATGATTTCTTCTTGCAAATATAAAAGCCCCATTACCCATACTTGTGTATGAAATTAGACTACAAATGGCTATAAAACATGATTTTTAAAATGAACACACTAGGGCGCCTGGGTGGCTCAGTTGGTTGAGCGACTGCCTTCGGCTCAGGTCATGATCCTGGAGTCCCTGGATTGAGTCCCGCATCGGACTCCCTGCTGGGTGGGGAGTCTGCTTCTCCCTCTGACCCTCCCCCCTCTCATGTGCTCTCTCTCATTCTCTCTCTCTCAAATAAATAAATAAAATCTTTAAAAAAATAAAAAATAAAAAAAATAAAATGAACACACTAGAGTTTATAAACCCAAATGAGCATTTTCTTATGTGCAGTCTTTTTGATAGGGTGTGTACTTATTTAAATGGTTCTGCCATTCATTAGAGCATCTCTGCAGTGTCTCTTAGAGAGCAACCACTAGCCTAGGGTGGCCTCTGTTAAATATTCTTAATTTAACTATTTTCCGTTAGAACACAAGCAATGTAGGGGCACCTAGGTGGCTCATTAGTTAAGCATCTGACTCTTGATTTTGGCTCAGGTCATGAACTCAGGGTCCTGGGACGGAACCCCACATTGGGCTCCATGCTCAGCAGAGAGCATGCTTGAGATTCTCTCTCTCCCCGCCGTCCCTCCCCCACTTCCCCTGCTCTCGTGCTCTCTCTAAAATAAATAAGTCTTAAAAGAAATAAAGAAAGAACACCAGCGATGTAAACTCAGGGACTGTGTCTGTCTCATCTGCTGTGCTATCCCCACTGCCTAGAAGAGACCAAGAAGGCTTCAAAACTGATGCGTTGAATGAATGGTAAAATTCCCACTGGTTGAAAGTCACTTGATTGCTTAAATAATTTAGTCTCTTAAGATAACTCTTCACCTCCTCTCTCTTTTTCCAGGGTGGTTGGAGGTTAATGAGTCAGGTTAAGAGTGATAGGAAGTGGGTCTGGGGAGGTAGGCAGGGGTCAGATAAAGTCTAGGCGGTAAGGAGTTCACATTTTATTCTAAATGCGATTGGAAACCACTGCAAGGTGGGTGCCTGGGTGGCTCAGTTGGTTAAGCGACTGCCTTCGGCTCAGGTCGTGATCCTGGAGTCCCGGGATCGAGTCCCGCATCGGGCTCCCTGCTTGGCGGGGAGTCTGCTTCTCTCTCTCACCCTCCTCCCTCTCATGCTCTCCGTCTCTCATTCTCTCTCTCTCAAATAAATAAATAAAATCTTTAAAAAAAAAAAAAAAAGGAAACCACTGCAAGGGAATTGCAAGGGAATAAAACAGTTTGTATCTTTAGAAAAGCCCTCTGAATACACAAGGGAAATAGATTTTGTGGGGGCAAAAGTAGAAGCAGGGAGATGGTGAAGAAGCTGCTACAGAAACCCGGAAGGGACAAGATGCAGTGTGAGCCAGAGAGGTCCTAATGTCAGTGGTGACAAGTGCATCATTTCTGAATGCACGCCGGTGGTAGAACAGACAGGGTTGTAGGAATCCAGTCAGCAGGAACTAAGCAGCAGTGTCTTTCACACGTCTTATGGAGACAAATAAATCCCTACCATCCATTCAGTCTGCAGATTTCTCAGTGTCAGATGAAAATTCCAGAGAATGGGCATATGATTATCTTAGCTTAGATGCCTTGGGGAGGTGGGGGTATCTTGACTGCGCATTCCACGAAAACTCCTATCCAGTGAGGAAAAGATCGGTGCCCCAAGAATTACTGGGGTGCTGTTATCTGGAGAAGAAAGAACAGTTGTTGGATTGGCTAAACTACAATATCCACTACACGTTGTGCTAACTTTATAATCACATCAATGATTCTTTGCTGAACAAGTCACAGCATATTATTGACCACGTTAATACTAGTTAATAAAGAAAGCATTAGTGCAAGACACAAAGAAAACAGCAGTGTAAAACAATTACGATATTGATCCCTACTGTTTTCTCCCACACTGATGCTGCCTCCAAAATCAAGGTCAAATTGGCAAGATTTTGCTAATTTTTAAAATTTTGAGTGACTTCCGTTGCATTAAAAAAAAAATTCTACTAGGCTTTCCAGAATTCAGATGAAAACTCCAGGTTCTGTAATAAAATCATGTTTTCTTTAGAGCATACCAGGAGTTGCTTTCTCCACCTCATTCTTTCTGTTCGCTACTCATGTGGCCAGAATAATATGTGCCACTTTGTATTATGTCAGCTAAAACAAACCAGACAACTGTAGGGTAGCAGAAACACCACTTAGTTGGGTGGCAGAAAGCTGGAAACGGTCTCTTAGAAGCTCTTTCCCGCAGGCATTTCACTGACCCTCTAAGTGAAGTTTCCTCATCTGTGAAATGTTATCAAATGTGTACAACTAACAGGTAGCAGGTGGAATTGACATAGAATATGAAGGCATTTAGAAACTTGCAAAGAACTATACAAATGTGAATTACAATTAATGCAGACTATTTTGGAATCAGGAATCCTGATCTCTTTGTATTTCCTATCAAGTTCTCTATCTTGTCCTCCCTTGTTTATACATATGACCTGGAATATCTTCTGTGCCCTATTTTCCTAGCTGCCCTCAATCTAAAATTAAAACCAAAACCAGCTTCCAAGAACCTGAATCTGTTCTTCCTCTGTGTAGGATGCTTCCTCTGATCCTCAGCCACCTGTGCTACCTCGCTCAGAATACATGTCACACTGTACTATGTCAAGGATTTAATGCTGTTATTAACTCTATTTCCTTGTGCATCAATTCTTCCATTTCATGATTTTGTCTTCCTCTCATGTGAGTCGTCTCATCGATTTGGTGTTCTGTGTGTGTGTGTGTGCGTGTGTGCGTGCACCCTACCCTTCACATTTGAGATACACTGTTACCTCTCATGATTGTTAGTATCTGCTACTGCAGGCTGACTACACCGATTATGAATAAGGGCCAGGTGTGTTGCTGGACAGGCTATGTCAGCAGTTAGTTCTCCAAATGGTAATGTTTCAATTAACATATTTTTTCCCTTTCTTTACCATGTAAAAGGGAGGAAAGATGGCATTCTCACATATAAAAGATAACTATTAGTAAAATGATATAAAGTTTACTTGGTTAATGTAATAATTTTGTATAGCGACAGAGGGTAACTAGACCTCTCAAGGTGATCATTTCATAATGTATAAAGATATCGAATCACTGCGTTGTATACATGAAACCAATATACTATTGCATCTGAATTATAATTCAACTTAAAAAAGCAAAAATAATAAAGTGTGGTTATTCTTTGCATTCTTTTTAAGATTTTATTTATTTATTTGTCAGAGAGAGAGGTTGCTGCAGGCAGGAGGAGAGGGAGAATCAGGTTCCTCGTTGAGCAGGGAGCCCGATGCAGGACTCGATCCCGGGACCCTGAGATCATGACCTGAGCCAAAGGCAGATGCTTAACCGACTGAGCCACCCAGACATCCCTCTTTGTATTCTTTATAGCAAAAGATAGGCCGTCTCATGCATCAGAAAGCTTTGTAAGAACAAGGGCTATCAGTGTTCTTTATGTCTTTTCATGGTTCAGTGCACACAAAAAGTTATCAAGTATTTCGGTTGAGTGAATGAATGAGTCACACAGGTGGTTGGGAGAAAAGGAAGATACGTATGGTACTTATCAAAAGTACAAAAGTGCTCACCAAAAACAATTTGATAAGTTTATGAGGTCAATAGGCACACAAAGCCACAACTCATATGTCCCCCTCTTTGCCTTGCCCTTTGGACCAGACCTTTCCTTCAGAGTCTCTGGTGTGCAACAGAGCTTACACAGGGGAATTTTGCTTCCCACTCCATCAGGACACAGATATCATCACCTTGCAATTGTATGCATCTTGGAGAGCAACAAGAGTATCAGCTTGCACAGCAAGGCTGTTGGAAGTGGTGTGACAACTTTTTAAAACACTTGAACCAAAAATAACCAATCATAGTCCAAAATAGACGACCATACTGTAGCTGGTCTTCAAGTTGTAATTGAAAGTCACAATCAATTCTCTTCGTGAACTCTTATCACTGTAGATAAAAGTGTGGAATTAGAGGTGAGTCAGTCATTGTTTTTCTGGTTTTTAAGGCACAGACAATATGCAGGATTATTTCAGAGCTTTTCTGGTTCCACTGGTTCATATTACATTCCTCAGTAAAGCATTTCAATGGGCCATGAAATCTTTTTAGCAATACAGTTCTTACTATCTTCAGAATTCTGTATTTGAAAACACAGGTTTTATTCCAGGAGTTCAGAAATTTAACCCATCCACAAAGGGGAAACAACCATAAAACTCTTGGGAGAATTAGAATTGGACATGGATTTGTGGTCTCCCCACCACCACCATTGTTTTTAGTCACAGTGAGGTTGTCTCATTGATCCTATAACCAACATCATTCCTTACGTACTTCACAGACTTCCTGGGGTCTATTTTTAAATTAATGAAAGTGTCACATGCTAAATGCTCTCAAGCAAATTTCACACTATTGGCTTCATTTTTCCCCCGATAAACAACAAAGAATGATTGATTTAGCCATTGCTCACTGTCTTCGGTTGCCAGACATTCCCTGACTTTGCTCAGCAAATGTTTCCATGTAACACAAACTAGCATCCCTTTAGAAAATACTTGTAGGTATGATGGAGCCTTCTAAAATTGAAAAAAATATTTATCTGCCTCTGCCCAACTGCAATCCACTGAAATGCAATCTGGGGATTATAGAGGGTCAGATGGTGCCTTTACAATAACAACCACCCAGCAACTAGAGGAGTAAAAGTGCAAGGCTCTGGGAAAGAGGCGAGGCAATGAGGACATGGTATTTGAATGTTTCATGTCAATGTTGGCATTAATTTTGGGGGAAAAATCCTTCTGCTGCCGTTTTAACTAAAACAATTTTGAGGCTTTTTAGATGTCATGGCATGTATAATTTCTATTAACATGATTTTCCCTTTTTTTTCAAAATAAATGTTTCAAGAATGAAGAGAAACAATATTCTCAAGTTTCATGAAAAAATAAAACTAAGGTACTCACTAGCATTTTTTGATCTAAAGTAAGTTTATTTCTTTATTTATCCTAAGAGATTTTTCATCTTTCTGGGCATCAAAATATACTTTTAATGCTTGAACACCTCTTGAGAGCTCCAATATATGGATATAATATGCTTGTTAATCAGTTACTTAAATTACAAGTTTAATGAGTGAAAAGTTAGTTTGGTAAACAGCACAACTCCCCATCTGCTACCAAGGCATCTGAATAGCCTGCCAAGGCCAAGTCAGGGCATGAGCCAGCAGAAAATTACAGCTACTATCACTGGCTGAGGCTTATATTACAGATCAGGATGACAAATACATGAGACTTGTGTCGCCATTCCCCTATGTCATGTCCATGGCGGACATTGATAACCGACCATGACACGGTCTCAAAGCCCAGAGCAACCTTGGAGACCTTCACAGAGCCCCATGCCAGGCAGCCACTATCAATCAGTTTGGTGTCTGAGATGAAATCTCTATTCAGCCCCCAATTAAAACCATGTATTGAGCAAGATAACTGAATAAAGCGTCCCTCATTTGTATCCCTGCAGCAACAGCAATATTTTGTCATCCATCCATGAATGAAAGTGCCTTTATAGAAACTTTGGGATCAAAGTAGGAGATTTTGAGGACGCCCAAACACACACACACACACACACACACACACACACACACACACCCCACCCAGTCCCGGATTAAGGAGAACAGGTTCATGTCTGGCTGACTCTCAGACCATGGTCTTAGCTACAGACTCAGAAACAGCTTCATACTCCTGAGAACTTAGCCACAACCCTATGTGGCTACTGTTCTGCCACCAGCACCATCTGCCAAGGGACCTAGAAGAAGTAATGCTCACCTGTATGTCAAATAATTGGCATACAAACCTTGCTCCCAGCTGTAGACTCTGAAATAGACCATGAATGGACACCTTCTCTTCGCAGCTGCAGTCTGGGAGCCCCTGGAGGTAAGCCTGCCAAACTTGCTGAGACTATGGATTCTGAAAGGGCCCTGAACCTGGGCTCCAGCCTGTCCCAGCCATAGTCCATGAGCAGGCCTGCTGGCACAGGAACCCAGCGGGACACACTCCTACCCATGTCTAGAGATCCTGAAAGAGCCCTACACTTGGCTCCAGGCTCCTCACAGCTACAGTCTGCCAGTAGTCAAAATGAATTATAAGAGGGGCACCTGGGTGTCTCAGCCGGTTAAGTGTCTGACTCTTGATCTCCGCTCAGGTCTTGATCTCAGGTTACCCAGTGTGGAGTCTACTTAAGAAAAAAAGAAGAATGAAAAGAGACAAAGAAGGTCAATACATAGTGATAAAGGTGTTGATTCATCAAAAGGATATAACAATTGTAAAATATGTATGTACCCAGCATGGGAGCATCTAAATATTTAAAGCAAATATTAAGGAAGAAATAGACAGCAACACAATAATAGTAGGACTTGAATGTCCCACTTTCAATATTGGAAAGATCATCCAAATAGTAAATTAATAAGGGAACAGCAAACCTCAATAACACTATAGATCAAATGGACCTAACAGACATACATAGAACATTCAACAACACCAGAATACACATTTTTCTCAAGCACCCATGGAACATTCTACAGGACAGATTATATGTTGGGTCACAAAGCAAGTCCTAACAAATTTGAGAAAATTAAAATCATATCAAATATCTTTTCTGAACGCAGTGGTATGAAATCAGAAATCAGTAACACAGGGGAAAGCTGAAAATTCACAAATACATGTAAATTACACAACACACTCCAGAGCAACCAATAGGTCAAAGGAATGTTGTATCTTGAGACAAATGAAAATGAAAACATGGAGTTGAGTGCCTGCTGGCTCAGTCAGAGGAGCCTGTGACTCCTGGTCTCAGAGTTATGATTCAAGCCCCACATTGCATGTAGAGCTGAAGGAAGGAAGGAAGGAAGGAAGGAAGGAAGGAAGGAAGGAAGGAAGGAAGGAAGGAAGGAAGGAAGGAAGGAAGAGAGGGAGGGAGGGAGGGAGGGAGGGAGGGAAGGAAGGAAGGAAAGAAGGAAGGAAGGAAGGAAGGAAGGAAGGAAGGGGGAGGGGGAGAGAGAGAGAGGGAGGGAAGCAGGGAAGGAGGGAGGGAGAAAAAACACAGTATATTAAAACTTATGGGACGCAGCAAAAACAGTCCTAAGAGGGAAATTGATAACAATAAATGCCCACACTAAGAAAAGAGAAAGATCTCAAACAACCTAACTTTACACCTCATTGAATTAGAAAAAGAACACAGTAAGCCCAAAGTTAGCAGAAGGATGTAAATAATAAAGATTAGAGCAGAAGTAAATGAAATAAAGACTAGAAAGACAAAAGAAAAAAAATCAATGAAACAAAGAGTTGGTTTTTTGGAAAGGTAAACAATATTAACAAATCTTTAGTAAGACTAACCAAAAAAAAATAGAGGACTCAAATAAATGAAATTATAAATAAAAGAGGAAATATGACAATTGATACCACAGAAATACAAAGGATCATGAGAGACTACTATGAATAATTATATACCAGAAAATTGGATAACCTACCAGAAATGGATACATCCCTACAAACAAACAACCTGCCAAGATCGAATCATGAAGAAATAGAAAATCTGAACTGATCAATAATGACTAGAGAGTTGAAGCAGTAATCAAAAACCTCCTAACAAAGAAAAGCCCAAGATTAGATGTTTTCACTGGTGAATTCCACAAAATATTTTAGGAGTAATAATCCTTTTCAAACTCTTTCCAAAAAAAAAAAAAAAAAATGAAGAGGAGGAACTCCCAAGCTTATTCTTTGAAGCCTGTATTACCCTGATAACAAAACCGAATAAGGTCACTATAAAAAAAACTATAGGCCACTAAATCACTATGTTGCATACCTGAAACTCATGTATCACTACATGTCAACTATACTCACATAAAAAACAATTACAAAAGAAAACTATAGGCCAATATCCTTGATGAATAGAGACGCTAAAATTCTCAACAAAATTTTAGCAAACTGAATTTAACAGCACATTAAAAGGATTAAATGGGATTTACATGATTAAGTGGGATTACCCCTAGGATGCAAGAATAGTTCAACATACACAAATCAATAAATGTGATACACCACATTAATAGAAAGAAGGATAAAAAAAATCCTGTGATCTTCTCAATTGATGCAGAACATTTTACAAAATGATAAAAGCTCTCAACGAATTGCATATAGAGGGATCATGCCTCAACATAATCAAGGCCATATAACAAACCCACAGCTTACTAAATGGTGAAAAGCTCAAAGCTTTTTCCTCTAAAATCAGTAACAAGACAAGGGTGTCTACTCTCACCACTCCTATTTAACATGTATTGAAAGTCCTAGCCAGGAAAAAAAAAAATGTAAGAACAGAAAGTCCTAGCCAGAACAGTTAGGCAAAAAAAAAAAGAAATAAAAGACATCCAAATTGAAGAAGAAGTAAAATTACCTGTTTGCAGATGATCTGATCTTCTATATAGAAAATCGTAAAGATTCCACCAAAAGTGTCACATGCTGCAAAATTAACATACAGAAATCAGTTGTGTTTCTTTACAAAACAAGGAAATATCTGAAAAAAAATAAAGAAAAAATCTCATTTATAATAGCATCTAAAACAATAAAATTCTTAGGAATAAACTTAACCAAGGAGGTAAAAGATCTATTCACTGAAAGCTATAACACACTGACATAAATGGAAAGATACCTCATGTTTGTGGATCAGAAGAATATTGTTAAAATGTTCATACTATCCAAAGCCTTTGATAGTTTTAATGCAATCCCTATCAAAATCCCAATGACATTTTTTGCAGATACAGAAAAAGACAATCCGAAAATTCATATGGAACCATGAAAGACCTTGAGTAGGCAAAGCAATCTTGAGAAAAAACAAAGCTAGAGTTAACATACTTTCTGATTTCAAACAATACAGAACAGTAATCAAACCAATTTGTTACTGACATAAAAATAAACACAGAGTGGGGCGCCTGGGTGGCTCAGCCAGTTAAATGTCTGACTCTTGACTTTGGCTCAGGTCATGGTCTCATGATTGTGAGCTTGTGCCCCGCATCAGTCTCTGCACTCAGCGTGGAGTCTGCATGAGATTTCCTCTCTCTCTCCCTCTGCCTCTCTCCCCATTTGCACTCTCTCTCTAAATAATTAAATAAAAAATCTTGAAAAAAATAAATACATAGACAAATCAGTATGTTACCGGCATAAAAATAAACACATAAACCAATGGGACAGAATTGAGAGTCCAGAAAAAAAACCCATCCACATATGGTCAACAAATGTTTGGGGGATAATGTTCAATGAGGAAAAGATATTCTCCTTCATAAATGGTACAGGGAAAACTAGATATACCCATGCAAAAGAATTCAAGTGGACTCCTATTTTACACCATTCAAAAAAATTAACTTGAAATGGATTGAAGAATTAAATGTAAGACCTGAAACTGTAAAGGTCCTAGAAGAAAAGACAAAGGAAAAGCTCCTTGACACAGTCTTGGTAACAATTTTTGGATAGGACAGCAAAAGTACAAGTAACAAAAGTAAAAACAAATAAGTAGGACTACATCAAACTGAAAAGCTTCTACACAACAAAAGAAGTAACAAAATACAATAAACTATAAAATGGGAGAAAATATTTGCAACCTTTATTCAGATATATAAGGAACACATGCAACTCAATAGAAAGAAAACCCACAAATAATCAAATAAAAATGGGTGAAGGACCTGAATAGGCATTTTTCCAAAGAAGACATACAAATGGCCAACAGGTACATGAAAAGATGCTCAACATCACTAATTATCAGGAAAATGCAAATCAAAATCACTTGTTAGGATGACTGTTACAAAAAAGTCAAGAGATAACAAATACTGGCAAGAATGTGGGGGAAAGGAACCCCTGTGCACTGTTGATGGGACGGTAAATTGGTACAGCCACTACGGAGAACAATATGGAGGTTCCTCAAAAAATTAAACCTAGGGGGCACCTGGCTGGCTCAGTCAGTGGAGTGTGCAACTCTTGATCTCGGAGTTGTGGGTTTGAGCCCCATTTTGGGTATAGAGATTACTTAAAATTTTTTAAAAATTAGAAATAGAACTACCATACGATTTAGCAATCCCACTTATGAGTATATATCAAAAAGAATTTAAACCAAGACCTCAAAGAAATATCTTCACTCTCTGCAACATTAGTCACAATAGCCCAAACAGGGAAACAACCTAAGCGACTCTCCATGGATGAATGAATAAAGAAAATATAGTATATACACGCAATGGAATGTTATTCAACCATAAGTAGAAGGAAATACTGCCACTTGTGACAATATAGATGGACCTTAAGGACATTATGCTGTAAAGTCAGACAGAGAAGTATAAATGCCATATGATCTCACTTATTTCTAAAACAAACAAACAAACAAGAGCCAAACTCACAGAAACAGAGTAGAATGGTGGGTTTCCAGGGGCAGGAGGTGGGGGCGGGAGAAATGGGGAGATGTTGATCAAAGGGTACAAAATTCCAGTGATAAGATGAATAAATTCTGGGAATCTAATGTATATATAGCATGGTGACCAAAGCTAACAGTACTGTATTATATACCTGAAAATCACTGAGATTAGATTTTTTTTTTAAAGCTTTTATTCATTTATTTGAGAGAGAGAGAGAGAATGCGTGTGAGAGAGAAAGCACGAGAGGGGGAGGGTCAGAGGGAGAAGCAGACTCCCCGCTGAGCAGGAAGACTCCATCCCAGGACTCCAGGATCATGACCTGAGCAGAAGGCCGATGCTGAATCGACTGAGCCACCCAAGCGCCCATGAGAGTAGATCTTAAATGTTCTCCCTCCAGCCAAAAAAAAAAAAAAAAAAAAGATAATTATGTGAAGTGATGGATGTGTTAACTAACCTTATTGTGGCAATCATTTCACAATATATATGTGTATTAAATCATCATACTGGATACCTTCAACTTATAAAATGTTGCATTTCAGGCACCTGGGTGGCTCAGTTGGTTGGGCGACGGCCTTTGGCTCAGGTTATGATCCTGGACTCCCGGGATCGAGTCCCGCATCGGGCTCCCTGCTCGGCGGGGAGT